TGGGGCGGTATATAAGTCCAATAAATAAATAAATAAATAAATAAATAAATAAATAAATAAATAAATAAATAAATAAATAAATTTTCTCCATATAGCCATCTGTTACGCTAACCTTTGTGGCCAACGCTAGACCCAAGGACATGAGAAAATCTTAAAGCCATTTCCAAGCAGTGCTTGATCTTCCCAGTCATTTTGAAAAGAAAGATAGGACTCGCTTCTAATCATGTTGTGTTTAAGCAGCTTCTAACTTAACCATAACTTGGAAAACTGTTTCATCAAAGGAGCACATTACATTGACATTACAGCGTACAGTCATGTGAAAAAAGAGTACTCTCTTTGAATTCTATGGTTTTACATATCAGGGCATAATAAAAATCATCTAGCCATTAGCAGGTCTCAAAATTACATAAATACAACCTCAGATGAACAACAGCACATGACATATTACACCATGTCATGATTTATTTAACAAAACTAAAGCCAAAATGGAGAAGCCATGTGTAAAAAAACTCTTACTGCTTCCATAGGAATTAAGAGGCTAAGTACCAACCAGGTACTGCTAACCAAATATCCTTGAGTAACTAATCATCAGCAAGCGTGACCACCTCTAGAAAATCCAAAGTTTTAGCAGTTTGATGGTCTGGAACATTCGTGTATATGTTAACACAATACCAAGGAGGAAACACATCAACAATGATTGTAGAGAGGCAATTGCTGCTGCCCATCAATCTGGGAAGGTTTATAATTTCCAACCAATGTAAAGGCCATCATTCTACAGTGAGGATGATTATTCACAAGTGGAAAACATTCAAGACAGTTGCCAATCTCCCAGGAACGGGCATCTAAGCAAATTCATCCCAAGGCCAGACTGTGCAATGCTCAGATAAATTATGCACCTCAATGAACTGAAGCAACGTTGTAAAGAAAAGTGGATCAAAATTCCTCCACAATGATGTGAGAGACTGATAAAGTCATACAGAAAACCATTACATGTTATTGCTGCTAAAGGTGGTCCTACAAGCTACTGAATCATAAGGTGTATTTAGTTTTTCACACAGGGCTTCTCCATTTTGGCTTTAGTTCTGCAAAATAGATCATGATATGGTTTAATACATCATCTGTTGTTGCTCATCTGAAGCTGTATCTACCTCATTTTCAGACCTGCTAAGGACCAGATGGTTTTTATTATGTAAAAGCATAGAATTCAAAGAGGGTGTACTTTTTCACATGACTGTATAGGGAACAAAATGGTCCATCATTTAAAAATATTCTCTTAAAATGCTCACAGAACATTGTTCATTCTTAAAATAACAAGTAACAAGTAAATGGTATCTGTTATATGAAAAAAAACAATTATGTTACCAGTTGCTACATTATTTTGGAAAAGGAATGCCATTATGCCCTCATTACTCTGAAAGTAACACATTATAGATAATGTCATTACTTATAAGGCCATTACGAGATAATGCTATTACTCGTTATTTACAAGTGTTAGACTGAACAATTATACAACCAAGAGAAGCTTTAAACCAGATGTTGTACCATTCATCAGGTTGCCAACTGCATCAGCGGGGTCATCTGGAGTGCTTCCCAGCAGGTGACAAACAAATAGCACTTTCACTACAGCAATGGTGTGGCCACCCAAGAAAAAGGGCTTACACAGGAGGGCTTGTACAGAAAAAGATCTGTCACTTGTTTGGAATCCTTCCTGAACACACAGGTGGAAATTGGTAGGAAGATGAAATTTACAGGAGTGGGAACACAACCCTTATAGCACTGTTATCACCATGAATGTCAGAGATGCATACAGGATTTGTGCAAGAATGGTATGTCTAAGACTGGGGTGTGATTTATCTTTCTACTGTAAATGACAATAGGGCTTTATTCTCATGTACTGTAACATGAATACTGTAGTTGCCATAAATTATGTATTCCATTTTTATGTCTTCCATCTATTATAGGCTTGGGAAATTATATTCCTCCTTTGCAATTTCATTGTGTTTTATGTTTCAAAACATAATAAAGATCATCTAGGGAAAAAAGTAATTCTGTGCAATTAAACAAAATGCCTACCTAACTCACAGCAGCTCCTTTACCAAACTACAATTCAGACAGGGCTAGAACTTCGGCACCAAATTTCACAAAAGCCTAGCATGGCAGGATCTTTCCCCTTTCTGATGATGTCCAAAGCATTGCAGGAAAACTATACTACTGTAATATATGAAATACGTCCTTCTCATGGCCCTAGAGTAAGGTCCACTTCACATATACAGCAGAATGAAAGGGGTGAAAGATAACAAGCTTGGGTAAACAGTACCACTTCAGATTCATAGGCGATACATTCAAGTGCTCCTCGTAAAAAAAAGTTGCTCTAATTTTTGACATAAGGCAGTCTTTGGAGATAGCACGGACATCACCCTTCACCTGCAATCTGAACTAGAGCAGTCCATTTGTTATGATGTGTTGCCCTCAGAAAGCAGAGTAGATTTGGTTTCTGAACTACCATTGAAATGACTGCTTCATTAGAGACTTCTACAGAAGAGGAGGTAACCAAGGAGACATACTGTAGAAACCTCTATCCTCTGTTTAGAAGGTAACTCTCCTCTTGTGACCAACTCCTCCTCCTTAGACCTACTATGCAGTCTGAGAAAATGGCAATGACAATGTCAACAACAACATCTGACACCTAGGGTTTAAAAGGATATATTCCAGGCTTCTACATGATCCTTCTGCCTCTCAGGGAAGCTATTTCTGAAAATGTTGCATACATGTATCTGCTTAAATCTTTATATGACTGTAGTTGGATGATGGAGCAACACTTCCAACTTGTTTTCGGTGAGCTGGACATTTGTTTTACTGATCTCCCCAATCCCACAGTTATTCGCAGTGCTGATCATTTTTCCCCAATATTTCTTTGCCAAATGTGGTTTGGAAGGAGAGGCCACTATGCTGTGCTGCAGGTAAAAAAAAAAACGAAATCCTTTTATCTCTCCCAAACTACATATCCAGTATGAACTTCTTTGGAGGGATTTTGAAGTGCCACTGTAAGTTAACTCTCATGCTCTAGGATAAACAAACTTAGAATTTGTTTATATTGGATAAAGGGAAGCTCTTTTCCCTCTCACACAATACTAGAACCAGGTAAAGGTAAAGGTAAAGGTTCCCTTTGACAATTTTTGTCCAGTCGTGTTCGACTCTAGGGGGCGGTGCTCATCCCCGTTTCCAAGCCATAGAGCCAGCGTTTGTCCAAAGACAATCTTCCGTGGTCACATGGCCAGTGCGACTTAGACACGGAATGCTGTTACCTTCCCACCAAAGTGGTCCCTATTTATCTACTTGCATTTGCATGCTTTCGAACCACTAGGTTGGCGGGAGCTGGGACAAGCGACAGGAGCTCACTCCATTGCGTGGATTCGATCTTACAACTGCTTGGTCTTCTGACCCTGCAGCATAAGCTTCTGCGGTTTAGCCCGCAGCGCCACCATGTCCCAGGGAACATCCAGTCAAATTGAGTGTTGGGAGAGTGGGAACAGACAAAAGAAAATATTTCTTTACCCAGTGTATTGTTAGTCTGTGGAGCTCCTTGCCACAGGATGTGGTGATGGCATCTGGCCTAGATGCCTTTAAAAGGGGATTGGACAGATTTCTGGAGGAAAAGTCCATCTCAGGTTACAAGCCATGATGGAGATGTATAATCTCCAAGCTTAAAAGGAAGAGACCTCCAAATCCCAGATGCAGGAGAGGGGGATCAGGAGACAGGTATCTAGTTGTTTTGTGTGCTCCCAGAGGCATCTGGTGGGGCCACTGTGAGATCCAGGAAGCTGGACTAGATGGGCCCTTGGCCTGATCCAGCAGGGCTCTTCTTATGCATTTGAGGTGATGGGGTAATGTCGTTCTCCAATGAGGATTCCTATGGACTGTAGCCCTATTCAGGCATTAGGCCTGAAAGAATGTATGGCTGTTATTTTGGTGGGAGACTGTGCTGCACACATAATTTTTGCCTACCCCACACTGGACACCAGGCAGCTCTTCGCACGTTCATGATGAAAACCTCCCAGGATGCTTGTAAGCATATTCAGTTTGGTGCATTTATAGCACTGCCATGATCAGAACCCCTCCCCAATAAGATCTCTTTATGAAGACATGAGGGGTGGGCATTACCAGCATGCATCGTCCAAAGGACATTTAGGCTCACTCCCTTTCAAGCTTAAAGCCTGAAGACTTATGCACCTTATTCCATGTCCAAAGGAGAATTGTTGTGTGCACAGTCAAGTGTGTTCCACCTAAACCACCATAGCCAGGAAATACAAGATGGGATAAAATCGGATAAAATAAAACAAAAATACTCACTCACTCACTCACTCACTCACTCACTCACTCACTCACTCACTCACTCACTCACTCACTCACTCATTCACTCTCTCTCTCTCTCTCTCTCTTTCTCTCTTTCTCTCATGCACCATACACAATGATACTGAAACTCTGACCAAATGGGTTTAGAACAAAAATAAATAAACCCATATGTTTTGGTGTGTGTTTTTTTAAACCAGGTAGCAGATTAAGAATCTCTACTGAATAGTCACAAAGTAGCAGAAAATTACGTACATCATAGTATGTATACTTGTGGGAAACAAGAAAACTATTATGAATGTACTCTTGCAATTTTGTATCCCAATCTCCAAAGACAGAATTTAAAGAAAAAAAGAGTGCATTAGTATCACAAAAGACAAATGAGAACTAAAGAAAATACATGGAATAATGTGAATGAGTACCAGAAAGGTAAATTGCTTTATCAACCATGAACTCTTCTGCAAAACGAATGTGACAAAAATTCTTCTTGCTTTTCCGAATTGCTGTGATTTCACCACACTGGTCAAAGACTTCCTGAATAATTTCCTCAGTAGCATTTTCTGGTAATCCTCCAACAAAGACAGTTTTACATCCAGGAGGTCTCTCTCTTGTTGATGGTGGTGGAAGATCTAAGAGGAAAATCAAAAGTCATTTTTAAAACAACTCCATTTAGTCACTGCAGACAAACATGAAATATTAAACAATATAAATGAATATAATTAAAATATAAATAAAATTAAAATATAAAATTGAATAATCAGAAATACATGTAGTCAGAGCAAGTCCTCGCAGGAGTTTCGATCAATGGAACATGCTAGTTATGACTAACTGCAGCTCCATTATTCTACTGGGTCTAATCACAGTACAATTAAGTAAGGATAGAACTCAATGAATTAAAGTGACAGCTTGATTTTTAAAATATTAATCAGTCAATACTACTATTTTTCCCACTTTGGCTGTTTAAACATTGATGCCTCTGTCAATGGTATTTGGAGCCATCTCTTCATTCAACACATTTATTGCTACAACAAGATAAAAACTCATTAAAATGAATGTTCATCCTTACTAAAACCGTAACACATGCACCACCGCTATATGAGGCCACTGTTCTGCTACTGCAACTTTTTAGATTTACTTGATGATGGGTATCTCTCAAGTTTTGTTCCATTGCTACAAATAAAGCTACTCTAATGATGATATACTCATCCTTTACTTTCAGGTTCAAGAGAAATGCAGAATATTCCAAGGTACTTTGTCCCTGAGTTTCTCGAGCATTTGTCTTGCAGTAAGTAAGTTTTGGAACTGATGGGACTTGATAGCAAACACAGGTACAAGGACCTGATATTTTAAAGTTTTAAAAGTAAAATAAAACTAGGCTGCACAGGCCAGTGCAAAAATGTGAAGCAGCTGTTCTGGGGCCACCCTTTCTCACTGGCAATGTATAAACTCAGTAAGGTAAGGGAAAATAGTACAAATCCTCATTCTCTTACTACCCAAGCAGAGACAAGATATTGTCTAGTTAGTATCTTGGAATATTAGCTCACCAGATAATTAAAAGTCATTGCCTGAAAATGTGATGTTGCAAAGGACTTGTGCAACCTGCCCCCAAACCAAAGGTAAGAAAGATGTGGCCCATTAACCCTATTTCTGTTCCCCCCACCATCTTTGAAATCAAAACAAGTAAGCACTCTACCCACCCAAATAAACCTGGAGAATTGTACAGTGGTGCCCCACTAGACGATTACCTCACAAAACGGTTAATTCGCTAGACGATGAGTTTTTGCGATCACTATAGCGCTTCGCAAAATGGTGTTTCCTATGGGCAATTTTCGCTGGACGATGTTTCAGTCCATGCTTCGCAAGATGGTTTTTTCCGGGACTGTTTTTCGCAAGATGATGATTTTGACAGCTGGTCTGCGACTTGCAAAACAGGTGTTTTCGGGACCATTTTTCACAAGACAGCAATTTTGACAGCTGATCAGTGCTATGGGCGATTTTCGCAAAACGACGACAATTTTTCCCCATTGGAACACATTAAATGGATTTCAATGCATTCCAATGGGGAACTGCATTTCGCAAGATGATGTTTTCGCAAAACAGAGATTTTCACAGAACAAATTAACATTGTCTTGCGGGGCACCACTGTACCTCTATTGAGCACAGTTCTGCTCTAAAATCTATATATTATTTTAGTACAATATCATTCCTTTAAATATCAGGATTTTTTTTCTACTCAGAGGACATGGTACAGAGCTGGTGAGCCACATATTCCCAGATTTTGTTCATATGGCTGTAAATTTATAAGTCTCAACAAGAGTAGACTCATTGACTCCCTGGGAGTAGTCCAGTGCCTCTGCACCTAGATAAATACATCAGTGCCACTTACTTGGGTTTGGAGGGAAAAGTGTGCAGCTTTTACAGTGTATGATTTCTTTGATGACAGGCACCTCTGTTGGTGGTGGTTGAGGTACCAATCCCATTCCTGATAACATGGGATTAATTGGAGTTATTCCTGTCATCATGCTTAGGTTTGGATCAAAACCCCGTACACACATTGAATCTGTAAATATAAAACATGATAGCTTGGCTTTATAATCCGTAAAATAACTTTTAGTTACTCTTGAGTTGCAGATATTAGATACCCAGTGTGGCACAGCGGATAGCGTGACAGACTAGGACTCGGGAGGCCTGGGTCTGAATTCCCGCTCAGCCATGGAAGCTCTCTGGAGGTGTGGTACTGGTAAAACCACTCCTTAAACACCTCACTTATCTTGAAAGCCCTGTTAGGGTCGCTGCAAGTTGGTTCCAACTTGACAGCACATAACAAAGTTGCAGGGATAATCTTCCTTAGACTTTTAAGGCATCATTGTTCTCATACATGCACTGATGAAACACTTGTTATTTCAGCAAAACCTAACAACATGCATAAAGAAAAAATATATAATTTTGGATGTGGATATGACAGAATTATCAAATGTATAAAATCATGCACTATAAAAATTGATGGTTTTCTATATTACAGTTATGTGGTTCACAATGCCACTCCCTTCTTTATACCTAATTTCTGACACAGAAGATTTTTTTTTAAAAAAGTGTTAGTCAATAACAAAATAGTATCACAGTAATGAGAATAATACAGTTGAATACTCTCAATCTCCAGTAAAATATATGGGAGCTGCACAAGAATGTGGCAGGATTCTTGTGCAGAACTCTGTCCTTCCTTCAACTCTCTTTTAGTGGCCTCTGTGTAGGTGAACCTCTTACTGGATTCTGCCCTCCATTCACAAGCTATTTTACAAAAACATCAGGAAACACTCATGTCAGATTATTATACAGTACCTTCTGCAGGCTGCATATAATCTCCAAACTTGTTTTTTGTGTCCTTACTCTACTTTTGCCATATTTATTGTGTCACTAAATGTTGGTGGGATTTCTTTGAAAAGTGGACTTGGAGACTGCATGTCTTGTTTTAAAGCAGAACCACACCTCCTGAAGCTTCCCATATGTATGATTTTGTTTTAAAGTATGGGTCATGCTTGCTATACATTGTGTTCAACAGATATTCTACATTTTTTTTCCTGGTAGTACCAAAACATTGTCCGCCCTTGGTTAGAAAGATAAGGAATGAAAATGAATTTGTGACAGTGAGTCATAAAAACTATGATTCATATAAAAAGAGCACTGATGGATGGAACTCTTGATCTATCTAGTCCACCACCCTGATCTCCACAGTGGCCAATCGGTTGCTTATTAAATCCTGGTAACAGTCCTGTTCTAAGGAATTGAGCAGGAACTTGTAAAGAGTGGAGAATTCTTGGCTTAGATGGAAGACATGCAAATATATTTAATGTCTGAACGGCTGTCATTTGGATCATCTGCCTACCTACAATTATAGCTGCTGGTTTCTATTTACAGCACATTTGAGTCCAGATTGTTTGGGACGTACCAGTGTCTACCAGCTAATGATGATGGGCTGACAGATTCTATTTCGATCCTCATTAAATTATGCCCAGAAATACCCATTATCATCCATTAAATATCAACCAGAAGTGACTTGCCCAAAGCTCCTATGTTATTAAGTCCATGTCTCTCTGGTTTTGACTTTGCTTCTTGCTTCATCTAATTCATACCACAATTACATATGGTGCTATCCTTCTTATCATTCATTCATTCTCTTTTATACATGCATGCACGTGTATGTACACATACAGTGTTCAAAGAACTGATGTCTGCTTTATAGCACAAAAATTACAAGACTATGAAATATAAACAGCAGATGTTTTAGAAGAATGCAAAATACACTTTATAAACTCTTTCTTTTGAGGTGGAAGCTGAGTAAAGTGAGACTTCTGTTTCTTCAGATACAATAAACTATTTTAGGAGGTCAGTCTTTTTGTTGGTATAGTTCTACGGTTATTTGAAACTATCAGTTATTTAAAGGCAATGTTGAGTTATTTGGGCATTCCCATATTTGCTGTATAGTTCTTGGATAACAGTTGAGCAATATTTAATGATAACAAAATCAAGCATTTGGCAGTTTGAGAGTTGAAAGAGAACTAAGAAAGAGAGAAAAGGAGGTTGTAGAAAACTATGCCTAATCCTGAAGCCATATGAAATACAGTTGGTTTCTAGAAAATCACAAGCAGGTTTAATGTAAGCAGCTGGAAAGACTCAATTCTTCAGGAACCCATGCTTAACCAACAAATATTAGGGTTTGGGGTGGCATGTAACACTGAGACAATTCAGCCCTATCTCTCATCAGTAATATGGCACCCTTCATAAATATAGAATAAATTTGCAATTAGTGTGTTACCTGAATAAAGTGGATAGAAAGAATCCACACCTCCTCAATAATACTAGAACCATAAGTCATCCATCAAAATAGATTAGTAGTATATTCAGGATAGGCAATATAAACAGAACTCACAATTAAGATATGGAATTTAATGCCACAAAATATAATGATGGCCAGTAACTAAGACAGGTTTGCCACAATTATGAAAATGTCATCACTCAATCTATCAGATGCCCATTGGTAGCTCAATGGAACCTCCGATTCAAAGAATGCTGTATATTTTCCAACACAACCTGCTGAAGGACAAGGAAAATTAGAGAACTGTTGCCTTCATGCTCTGCTTGCAGATTTCCAGAGGGCCTTAGCAGCTTAATTTGGGAAATAGGAAGAAAACCAGGTCTATTCAACCAGATATTTTCTGTGCTCTTCTGATACAGTCACCATCTTGTGAGAAATGAGAGGAAATGCTAAAGATACTCCTTTTCAGCAAGAGGAAAAGGAGACATGACATCTTGAGCCCTGTGGCACAGTGGCTAAACTGCAGTACTGCAGCACAGACTCTGCTCACAACCTGAGTTTGATCCCAACAGGTTTAGATAGCTGGCTCAAGGTTGACTCAGCTTTCTATACTTCACAGGTTAGTAAATTGAGTACTGAGCTCATGGGGGGGGTAGCACTGGATGCTTAACTAAGGTTGGCATCCAATGCTACTTTCTTCTGTCAGAAACACAGTCATGCAATTGGTCTGCTACTCGATTGCATTCACTTACTCATAAAGCATCCAGATAGGGCTGGGTTGGAAAGAAGCCAGTTAGACTTCAGAATAGTAAAGGAGTTTGAATATTAAGACAAACTGTCTTCTTTCCTAACCCAGCCCTACCTGGTTACTTTGCTAACTGAGCTCTGTCTAAACCCATCTGTTCTTGAATACTTAAACTACTATCTGACTGTCAGTGGCTTTGCCACGATGCAATTGGCTAAGAAGCCTTTAGGAGATTTTTCCAATTACCTGTCTGTCAATCACCTCACTGGTTTATTGACAGGTTTTAGGATGCTAGGTAAGGCTCCATATGGCTGAAATGTAGCTAAATGATTACTGGGCAGATATGAAGGGGCTGGATATAAGCAAAGCCAAAAAGGACTTGGCTAAGAAAGTGGCCAAGTAGGATAAAGCTTAGGAAGATTTGGTGAAGCAAAGGTTTCTTCTACATTTTTCTCAGGCTGAGGGAAAGCCCCAGAAGGTGTTAGGTTTCCAAAGTACACATAAAAACAACTAGTCTTTATAGTGTAGACCTTTGGTCTAGATGGGTGGGGTAGAAGTCTAATAAATAAATACACAGAAGAGACTGGCTTTTTAGTGAGCAGTTCTAGTCTTGAAGGTTCTTGTGGAGCTGTGGGTTCCCACCTGCTGCCATGCCACTTATATCCATTTAAATGTTCACATTCAGGAGTCTGAATAAAAGTGAATTTCTCCAAGGTGTTAATTGCTAATTTTAATAAAAGTTATGGTGGGTGGAAATAGCAGGTTTTAAATGGGAAAACGTGTTATTGAAAGAAGAGGAATAAAATAGTATTTATTCTGTAGTATCAATGAATTTAATATGCATTTGTGTTGTACTTTATTGACAATAGACTACATTATACTGGCCAGTACTGCTCAGGGGATGGGTAATTTTAGCTTCGATCTTGAAATAGCCAGACGTTTTGAGAAGTCTAGGGCCTGGACTCAGCAAAGTCTGAAGTTGTCAGATTCTGCAGCCTTCAACTTCAGAGTTTCTCAGAAGGTGAGATGTCCAAGCTCTACTGAAAGTTTTGTTTGGACTATGCCCAGAAGGAGGTATACAAATATAGGGAGTTTACACACTGTTTTGGAACAGAGAAAGACACGTGCTTTGTTTTCATTGAGAGGGACAAAAATCTCTGCCAGGACTGAGTAAAAATTACATAATAAGATGTGACTTGCTTAGAAGGCCTGATGCTCTGCTATGCCATAGTTTTATAATATTTGAAAATACTCCCAAAAAATAGATTTTAAGTAATTTTTAAAGTAACTTGTATGAGAGTTTCTTTCTCTCTTTTTTTTAGACATACAGGACGTGTATTTAAGCGCTATGTCCTTTGAATATTAATTTTACGTTTTTAAGCTATCATATAGAAGATACTGTCTTTGTTATTCACACAGTTACTCGTTTTAGACGTAATACCGCCTATATACATGAGTTTTTTTGTATAAGAAAACTGTAGATTTTGAAATATATACTCATCCATTTCTTATGTACTTTATACAAATGCATGCTTGCAACTTTACGCTTTTTATATACATGCTTGCTAAATAAATAAATGATAGAAAAGAAGATTTATTTCTGAACATTCAATTCATTCAAGATATCAAGGGGATATCCAGGAGAAAGAGTAGAGTTAATATATAAAATGATGCAAAATCTTGTGAGACTACCAATAAGTTCAGTTGTATGAAAAACACAAGTTTATAAGTCTCTCTTGTGGAATCTGTATACAGCTAGAGCCCTGAGATGAAATTCAGATATTTTCCAGTGCAATCTGTCAGGCTCATCCCAAAACTGGGGGATGAGATGCCTTCCGTTGCAGTAATGGCTTGCCTATGGCTTGATATGATCAGCCTCAAACATAAGAAGTCTTAGCATCCAGCTGTATGGCCAGTAACAGCAGTTATAGTATATCACAGAAGTGAGTACACCCCCTCACATTTCATAAATATTTTAGTCTATCTTTTCCTGTGACAAGAC